TAGTATGGACAGCTGTTTCTTATATTCCGACAGGAAATGTTCCCGAAGGAATCCCCCGGCGTCTTTTCAGCCCAAATCCCTGGTCCCCTGGTGCATATGAGAACTGGACTGTAGTCAAGGCAAGTTCTGTCTCATCTTTCCGTCATCCGGAAAACAAAGAATTTTATCTCCACATATTAAACTAAACTAGCTATTTGAATCTTCACATGACAGGAGATGTTAGATGTTCCCATTTCCTACATAATTGGAGCTTTCATTCCTGCTACGATGATCGCGGTGCTTTACTATTTTGACCATAGTGTAGCATCTCAACTTGCTCAGCAGAAGGAGTTCAATTTGAGAAAGCCATCTTCTTATCATTATGACTTGCTTCTTTTGGGATTTCTGGTATGCAAATTCCCTTCTTACTAGAACTGTTTCATCCTACTGGATTTTCTTTTTTCTAACATTCATAATATTTTCATTAATGGTGACAGACCTTAATGTGTGGTCTTATTGGAATCCCACCATCAAATGGAGTCATTCCCCAATCTCCAATGCATACAAAAAGTCTGGCCACTCTTAAGTACCAGGTAATCTACCCTGAAATCTCTCAAAAAATCAAGGTTCTTTCAATAGTCAGTGTTGAAGAAATAAATTGTCTTGTTTTGTCGTCGTGGTAACTCCGCGCATTAAATCTTTCTAAGATTAGTATTTGCTTATTATGCAGTTGCTTCGAAATAGACTTGTCGCAACAGCACGTACAAGTCTAAGAAAGAATGCCAGCTTGGGACAATTGTATGGAAATATGCAAGAAGCTTATCACCAAATTCAGACTCCTTTGATGTACCAACAGCCCTCTCAAGTATGTTTGCAATGACCATTTTGTTTTGTCCTGAAAGTAAACATGATCGTAATTTTGGAATTCCTAGATGAAATCAAATTATCTAGTTTTGCAGAAAGTAATTGAGAATTGCTAAATATCTTGTGCAGGGTCTAAAGGAATTCAAAGAATCAACCATCCAAGCAGCTACATGTACAGGCCATATAGATGCCCCAGTCGATGAGACAGTATTTGACATTGAGAAGGAAATTGATGACCTTTTGCCTGTTGAGGTCAAAGAACAACGTGTAAGTAATTTGCTTCAAGCCACAATGGTTGGAGGTTGTGTAGCAGCCATGCCCTTTCTCAAAATGATCCCAACCTCAGTCCTTTGGGGCTATTTTGCCTTCATGGCGATTGAAAGTTTGCCTGGTAACCAGTTTTGGGAAAGAATATTATTGCTCTTCACCGCACCAAGCAGAAGATACAAGTAATGACTTCAAATCCCTCGTCTTTCACAGTTCCCCATGTCTTGCATTCTCGCTTGTTCTCATGTCTAAATTAACTTATTTTTCTTGCAGAGTACTTGAAGATTTCCACGCCACATTCGTAGAAACAGTTCCTTTCAAGTCAATTGCCATGTTTACAATTTTCCAGACGGCTTATTTGCTGATATGTTTTGGTCTCACTTGGATACCGATTGCGGGCCTTATGTTTCCTTTGATGATCATGCTTTTGGTTCCAGTAAGACAATACTGTCTTCCCAAGTTTTTCAAAGGAGCACACCTTCAAGACTTGGATGCAGCCGAGTATGAAGAAGCACCAGCTTTGCCATTCGATCTCGCAACAGTAAGATTCCTTTCCCAACATAATTAAAAGTAAAATCCATGCTGCATCACTTTCACTTCACCCTTACAATTTCTTCACTTTGTCTATAGGAGGCAGAGCTAGGGGAAGGAGCCGCTTATGGCGGAGATGGAGAGATTTTGGATGATGTTATCACCCGAAGCCGTGGAGAGTTCAGGCACACGAGTAGTCCTAAAATCTCAAGCTCCACTACAACACCAGCTAATAATCCTAAAAGCCTTCAAAGCCCTCGTCTCTCGTACACATATAGTCCTCGTATAAGTGAATTAAGAGGGGAGAAAAGTCCCAAATCCAGTGGAAGAGGGCTTAACAGTCCAAGGACTGGAGATCAAAAGTTATCTAAACTGGGGAAGAGTCCTTCAAGTTCAGAACAAAACTAGTGGCAAATTTTTTTGGCTTATCTACCAGTAAGGAGCTTTAGATTGGCTAGTGCTTGCACCATTTCCCTATCAAGTGTGTTGTTTTGGTTGGAATTAATGTAAAATATCCCTTCTTTCTAATCTTCTCTTTTAGAGAAAAAAATTGTAACTTACAATGGAATAGTTGCTTTGATGTAATAAGTGTGCTAGTATACATTTGTTCCGGCTATAGTAGTTCAATCCCACTGCCTCTATGATGAAATTTAGTTGCTTTTAATGCCTTGTTTGTTTCCAGGAAAATAACTTTCTGGGACCATTTTTCTCACTTTCTTATAAGTTCTTCAAGAAAACTGAATTCTGATAAAAAAAAAAAAAAACTTTATGACGGGAAAGTTTTTTTTTTTTTTATTCTAAGAAAAACACTTTCTTTTTCTTTGCTGGCAAAACATGCACTGCCAGCAGATATAGTTCTGCAGAAAATCCAGTCTTTTTCATTTGAGAAAAAAATGAAGCTTCATCTTCTTTGGTTCAGTCTCACCTTCTCTATCCTTGGCAGGAATTCACAACTCCATTCATCAGAATAGATAAAACTTTGAAGGTTGTTACTGCAATTTGTAACTAAACGCTACTCTGATGAGGAAGAAACACAACTTTAACTGATTTCAGCCATAAGACGAATCAATTAGAGTGTAAACAGAAACTCAAATGTATCATCTGCCAAGAAGTGAATGATAGGCTTAAAATTAAAAAAAAAAATTAATAGGTTTTATTTATGAAAAATTTCACAAGTTATATTTCTATAATATTATATAGTATATATAGTTATATTTTATAAAATAAGCTATATATAAATATAAAATATAATAAAAAAATTCATCATTATACCTTTTTAATTTTTTTTTTATTATTATAAGTGATATAATTAAATATTTTTATATATTAAATAAATTTAAAAAAATTTAATTCATTAATAAATTATTTTTCAGTTTATTTTTCATAATATAATCAAATACTGCAAAGTATTTTTCAGTTTATTTTTTATAACTCTATCAAATAATAAAAAATAATTTACTTTTAAGAAATTTATTTTTAAAAAAATCTATTTTATGAAAAAACTATTTTTCTATATACAAACATAATTCTAATGAGTACATTTATAATTCAGCGAAGCCTTACTTATTTTGGCTCCTGCTGCAAGGATCCCATCTTGATATCACTTCCAACCATATTACCGATGCTTCAAGCTCTTACAATTAATACATGCTCTACTTTCCAGAGGTTTTTTTGGTTATGTAAAGCAGAGCATAATGTCTGAACCTAAAATTATTAAAACAGAAAAACAGAAATTAGAGACTGGTGTATTTAATATTTAATGGTTGAAAGAAATTGTTCTCTTGAAAAAATCTTGAAACACAAAGATTAGATCATGACTTTGGAGGTTTTAAAAAATTATTTTCATTTAATAATTTAATTTATTTAAAAAAATTTAAAAAATAATTTATATTATCTTTTTTAATATTTTTTTAAGGGATAGTTTTTAAATTCAAAACTATACAGGTTAATATTATTTTATATTTAATTTTTATTAAATAAATAAAAATAATAAAATTTAAACTAATAATTATTTGATTATTAAAAAATTATTTTAAATTTTTAATTTAAATTTTTAATTAAAAATGCAAGATATAATATACAAGATATGATTTATAAAGAGGGTCATCAAGATGGACAAATAAAATTGCAAGTGCCCTGAGACTGTAGCTATTTGTAAGTTTGTTTTGGACAGCTGACGAGAGTGAGCCCTTTTCTTCTGTAGTTATACTTGCAGACCAAGGGTCAACGCTTCAGTGAAAAAGCAATCATGTAGGGGGCTGTTCTGGAGCACGAACTTGATATGAAAAATGGGACTTTGTGACAGAGAAGATGTGGTCAGAATTGATCCCACCAGGAATTCCAAAGGATTAGAGGAACAGAGAGTTGCTTGGCTATAACCTACTGTAGGTCCTCCACTCTCAATTGGGAAAATTACGAGAGAGTGAACACTACTGAACAGGGTCTGAGTGCTTTCCACAGCATAGATTTCGGTGGGCTACTGTTCTTCACGTCTGCCACTACGAAATATAGGGGAGCTCAAGTCCCTTTCTAATGATTTCTGTATCTCTGTCGATGCGCAATTCAGAGAAACATTCCAAAAGAATAGCTCCGTTTATAATGTATGTTCATCTCTTAATTCCTTGCGAAAAGAAAGTGGTTGCTTGAGACCAGATGATGATTCGAGTTTCGATTGGACAAAGGAGTTGACCATCAGGAAGTTTTGATTTTACTTTATTGAGCAGGACGGAAACCACATCATGAGAAGCAGCTACCATGCGCTCCCATATGAACAGTCCCAGTCAATCTTGCCATATGCACCACAAAAAACCAGAGGAAATCATGAATATTAGTTGTAAATTTACTATCATTCCCCACATTATCCATCTCTTTCAGATGAATCACAATCACTCAAATCAATTGACTGTATAACAATTATTACTTGTGACGGCAAGTTAAGACAATCAATTTAGATAAATTAAAACAAAATGGAAACGAGATGATGTAAATTGAACTGGGAGCTGTACCGACAAGGGAATCAAGAACACTAGTGACCAGCAGTGAAAACTGGCATACTAAGAAGCATATCTAAATATTGATGGTGATAATTTGCAATGTCCTGGTGCCTCCTGATATATTCATTTGGAGATGTGATAAAGAATCATCAAAATGATAAGTCTAGGCCTCAAAAAAGTATACAGAGACTTCCAGTACTGCAGTTCTTGTAATTAAAGTTACAAAGAGAAGAACAGTGATGGTAATAATATTGTAAGTGAACAAAATGATGATCGAGTACATTAAAAAACATGCTTGACTTTGAGTTGTCTACCATGGTTGAATAATTGATGATGACCTCAATATATTAAGAGATAAAAAGCCCATCAAAGTGAAAGATTGAGATCTAAATCTTCATCTTGCCTTTTCTGATCTGTTGTGGGTTGCTGTCCTTCATCAATATTCTTAGAGGAAGGAGGAGGAGGAGGTGGGAGCATTTCAAAATTGCCTCTGAATTGCTCATGATGATCCTCCTCGGCAAAATCTTCCCAGGTGAAGGATGGGGTCCAAGTTGGTTTCATATCCTTTTCCTCCGCTTTCCCTTTCCCTTTGGAACCACTCGACATTTGATTATGGACATCTCTTATATTTCTAACCAAAGTGTAAAAAGTGTTGATCTTCTCCTCTTCTTCATCAACCACCATATTTCCCTCTCTTCTTTCTCCTTCCATGCTGTACTTTCTCTTCATTAACAAGGTGCTGGCTGGTATATTTATTCTCGTGCTCTGTGTTCCTTGCTATTAATTATTAACAGGCACAGGGGAGTGAATACATATATATATATATTCTTCCATGAAGATGGGCACATAATTTAAGAAGTATTTCCGGACCGAAGGCGGTAGGAGAAGTTTCTGAGAAACACAAGGAACTCATGAAATGACCATCTTAGCCTTTAAGGGTATGTGGCACAACAACCTCAATATTGGAAGCACATGATCATCGGTAAACGGAGGGGCTTATGACGTCATCACAGCATCACATGATGACTTCAGGGAGCAGTTGCACCGTCAGGGGGCCTTGTATGAACATACTGTTGACACGTAATACGCGTCACTTTAGCCGTCAGCATGGACCCTGTACAAGTGATACAGTTGAAAGGCTTATCAGCATATTCACCTAATTGACAAGGAAGGATGACTAATAGTTTGTTTATTTTTATAATTTAAAAACAATTATTTTTCGTTTTAAATTAAATTTTACTTTATTATATTCAAATCATTTTTATTTAAAAATCTAAGCTCATAATTGAGATTTTATTTTATACTTGATTTTTATTAAATAAATATAAATAATAAAATTTAAACTTATAATTATTTAATTTTTTTAGTATTATATTAAAAAATTAAATTAATTTGAAAATATAAATTATTTAATATGATTATAAGATATAATTTATATTATTTTTTAATTTATAAATAAAAATATATATTATTTTAATATATTTTAAATAAAAATATTTTAAAAAATAATTATTCCATATTAGAAAACACGATGTGATCTCTTGAAAATGATGAATGCTATATGATGACGACACGTGAGGCAAAAATAAGCCTTCGATTGATTCGAAAAAGAAAAGAAGAGATAAAAAGTAATGGAGACAATGAGATCTTTATGGAAAGATCTTTTCATGTTGCCTCGTGTTCTTGTTGATGTACCAAACTTAATGATGTCTTTTACTCTCTACATACCCATATGTCATGAGCATCTTAGAACCTTTAATATAGCTTTTTGAATATTGTTGAAGCCAATAAAAATCATTTTTCATATGACATATTTTTATATGTAAAAAAATTATTTAAGAATATTTATTATATTTTAATATATTTGATATTAATATAATTATTTATCAATTATAATTAACTAATATAATTTTAATAAAAAAATTTATACATAAAAATATATTAAATAAACCATTAGCCCTACAAAGTAATAGGTCTTATTTAAGGCTCTATGGTTGTTTTTTAAATAAATTTTTATGTATATCAATAATTTTTTTAAAAAAATTATTTTTATCAATAGTATATCAAAATAATTTAAAAATACTAAAAATATATAATTTTAAATAAATAAAAAATTTTAAATTTTAAAAAAATATTTTTAAAATATAAAAACAACCATAGAGACGTAACTCTTTCCTTGAAATTATAAAAATAAGAGTGAAAGTCTAGATTTATTGTCGTTTTGCTTTTGCTTTCCTTCAAGTGTTTCTCCTGAAGATGCCCTACTAAAGGCCAAAAGCAAACATTAAAGTACGTAAAGCATCAAAGATGACATTATCTACGATTCTTGTCTTCCTGCTTTTCACTATTTCTTTTCTTGGTTCTTTCATCCACGACTTTATCGCACTGTGCGTTTCCTGGGCCAGCCGACCTGACCACCAAGATAATGGGCCTAGGGACTAAAACATTAAAGAGACTGGACAAGCTCTCTTTGTCATTTTTTTTTTGCTAGAGAGGCCCACCGGACATGCTTAAAAAGAATATAAATCTAACTTTTTTAAAGAAAAAAATATGTTTAAAAAATATAAAAACCCAAATATTATTATACCTAATGGCTTTTCTTCAGGTTAACGATACTGTATGATTGCTATTTTTGTTATTATCATGGCCATCGTTGCCGTTATGTATCAAGACTGCCGTCCATTTATTTATATCAAGGCAAGCAAAGGCGAGGTAAACTTTTTTATTTTGAAAAAACTGACCTTTGATTTTATTTTTATAAATTTGAAATTAAAAAAATTAAATTAAATTTAAATTGAGTTAAATCAGAAAAAAAGGAGTCAAATCAGAAAAAACTAAGCCAAGCCTAAAAAATAGTGCCAAACTAGAAAAAATAAAGCCAAAACTGAGTCAAACCAATTTAAACCAGTTTCAATTTAATTTTATTTTTAAAAAAATTAATTTGATTATTTTTTTATAAAAAACAAATCAAATCTAATTATTTTTTTATAAAAAACAAATCAAATAAAAAATAATTACCCCTATCCATCCCTTCAATTGCATGGCGAGGGTGTGGAGAGCCCATTAATAACCCAAGGGTGTGTTTATAAATGTGATTGTAATTTTAAAATAATTTTTATTTAAAAATATATTAAAAAATATTTTTAATATCAACACATCAAAATAATCTAAAAATACTAAAAATTATTAATTAAAAAAATAAAAATATTTAAATATTTTGAAAATACTAAAAATAAACTGTTCTAAGTGTAGAGTTCTGTGGATTGTTTAAAGCCTTTGAATTTTGGCAATCAGAAATCCCACCGAAGGGAAACTGGACAAGAAGTTTCAAAAGCCAAATCCAATGAATTCCTTACCCGAAGAATACCAACGATTGAGTGTGTTAATTACCATTACAAGGACTCTAAACCTTGTGGTGGTATAACAATGGGCGCATATGTACTGTTCACCAACTAACATTTTAATGTGGTTTACTGCTCAAAGTTATTTATTTATTTTTATAATTTTTAAACTTTTACTTTGCACGATTGCTTTTTTTTTTTGATGTAATTAAAGAATAATTGAATTAAATTTATTGAATAGAGATAAAATTAAAAGACATAGGACCAAAATAAAAGGAGCACCACAAATAAAAAATGTTCTCAAAGTAATCAGAAAGAAGTTTATTTTAGTTCTCAAACTTTACTTTAATCCTCAAACTTTATAAATTATACTTGTTTCAAAAATTAAAATAAAAATAAACTTTATAAATTGAATTTTGAAATAAAAGTTTTCTTTTTAGTTTTTAATTTGAGAAAAGAGAAAAAAGACATTGAATTTTGATAATAGAGAGAAAATTAATATTGATACTAATTCTGAATATCAAAATAATTAATTTTAATGTTAAAATATTTTATTTGATGAGAAAAGTTTAATGTAGGTGTTTTCTTACCTTGAAATTGCCTTAAAAATCATATTCAAGTTCAGGAAAAGTTTACACAATCGAGTTTTTGTATTAATTTTTTTTTTAAGATTATTTATAAGTTTTTCAAGGTGTTTATATTTTTTCTAAATTGAAAATAAGTTTTTATATAAAAAAACATAGGCCTCTTTTGTCAGCCATTGACTCCATGAAATACGGGAATACTAGGCAATGTATTGTCTAAATTTTTTTCAAAAAAATATTGAGATGAATAACAAAATGTATTTTTTTGTAATAAGGCTCTTGCACAAGCCTTTTCTAAAGGAGCCAATTACTGACTTGATCTCTTTTGTTTTTTTTTGTTTTTTTTTAAATAATGCTCTTTAATTTAAAATAATTTTTTTAATTTATATTGAAATTAATGCCCCTTTTCTCTTATTTTTTTTATTTTTTGTATTTAGTCTTTTTAAATAGTAGTTGTTTTCTAATTATTTTGTATTTTGTATTGAGCCTGCCACTGTGGAGAACGGATAAAATAGCTACTTAAAAACATAAATCTTGTGTACAAAGGTCTAGAAGAGTAGGGTATCAAATAGCTACTTAAGAACTTAGATACCCACTGTTCAAAATATAGAAAAAAATCAAATCAAATGCTTGATTGTACTTGCAATTAATTAATTAGCTGCATAGAAATCAAAACCAAATTAAAGCCCAAACGGGATAATGAAACAAAAGTCCAACTATTGCAAAGCTGACCAGGCCCAGTAAATCCAAAATGTTCCTTATTCCACTCGGCTCTCCGCATTTGACTGTTCCTACTCATCGAGACATGCTTTGATTTCATATGCATGTTCCTTATTCCACTCTCGAACTGCAGAAAAAATTACTTCCTAAATTAAAAATGAAATGGGATTTTCTTTTGTTTCTGAATGAATTGAAATGAAATTCAAATGATACAGAGAGTTCCCATTTAACACACTATCATTCATGCTTCAAAAAATAAAAATAAAAAACTAATTGCGAAAGTTCTCTGACATATTAGATTATTCTAAAGCTATTGCTTGGGCTTTATACAGAATATAAATGAAAAATGAGAATCCATGGCATTCGCCTAAGATTTATTTCACTCTCTCTATTTGAACTCTGAAGGAAAACACAAAATGCATTACATAGTTTCTTGCTTTAAGTTTCTGAGATGTTAAAAATAGATGTTGTTGGAAGAGCTAGTGACATCAACCCTTTTAGTTTTCCAAAAAATGGTTGCAGCTATAAAGAAGATCACATCTATGGCATCAGAGAGATTAATTTTGAAAAGGGTTTTTTACAATGTTGATGTTGAATGATTTTATGTTTAAGGAAATGAAGTCAAGATAAATGTAAGATGGCGGCAACAAGATTGAAATCAAGGATCGATGACAAAATGTAAAAGAACTATCAAGCAACAGTTGGATGAATCCTTCAAAAAACGAAATGCCTAATGGATTAGACTAGAAATGATCAAATGTGCAAGCACGAGGACGAAACTAACTTGTCAGACAAGGATCGATGACAAAATGCTAAAGAACTATCAAATATCAATGATGAAAGAGTAAACTCTGCACTCAAACATGCATAGAGTGGTTCAGTGACCCATGAAAACCTAAAGGTCTAACAAAAAGTATTGATAGCTACCTTTAGGCATTGTTCTTGCTGCTTCCGCAAGGAACAAAAGAAAACATGCAATGAACAAAAGAGAATAGGAGGTCCAGGGGGTAAAAAACCACATCATAAAGAATAAGTATCATTAACAGTCTATGCAAATTTAATCCAT